TGGAATGTGAAGACATGCTATAATTCGATACATTCATCTCAAATTGAAGAGCAAAACAAGAAAGAAATAACAATCGTTCTATTTCCAGACTTCACAAAAAAGACAAATAAGCAAGTTTTATTGCTTTTGTTATTAATAGTTAAATTATCTTTTATGGTACGTATAGAGAAATACCTGTTGTAAATTTTGTCCGCCTTTTGTTCTAAGTTTCGTTAATTGTGTTTCTCCAATCTCCCTATAAATATATCGCTTAATTATTCAAACGAATGTGACGAATTAAAATGGCGAAAGTCTAATTTGGGGTTCAATTGTGTTGCAGAGGGTCGCGGGGTGAATTAACGGATTCAGTTAGTGGGGATGAATGTACCACCCTGTGTCAGGTGTTGTGCCACGCGGCCGGCTAGTCTCCTCAACAACACTGTAGCTTCACGGGCATTCAGGACAATTTAGCTTTCGTGTACGCATCGAGAGTCGTAGTAAAAGCAGAACCATTAGTATAATCGTTTCTTCTTACTTTATAATTACTTAATGAAAACTATTCCATTTTAGTTACTTAAATAAACTACAGAAGAAAAAAGCAGTGTAATTTTTCTATGAGATATTTATGTTATTACTAAACCACTAATCAAACGAAATGTAGTACGTTGTTAATTATTATTTATTTTTACTACGCGATACATACAAAAAATTACATCAAATATTCTGTTATTCAGATTTCAATGATATTGAATTTCCTGAGTTTCTTTCATCATTCGAACCGAAACCGAATCAAGTGCTTCGTCGATTGGTGCACACCGGAGGAATCGCAGTTTCCAGGAGACTGGACTCTAACGATCATTGTTCTGTAAGTACTCTGCCTATACATATTGCTTACTACAATTACGTCCTTAATTAGAAAACATTCCCGACGCGTGCCAATTAATATTTTTCCACGCAATGGCATCCAGTCTGAATATCACGATTTGAATTTAACTCTATTCCGTGAAATGCAACGGATTTCTAAAGCAAGTTGTTGATTTAATAAAGATGCCGGTTGAATTGCGCCGGTTTCACATTCATGCGCTGCCATTCAGACAACTGGGCACAATGCCGCTAATTCGTGCCCTTCTCTCTTTTAATGCGTCCTCGTGCTTAAAAGTAGCGTAGAAAAATTTTCTTATCGACACCAAATCGAGCGTGCCAGATCCAAAACTGGAATTCATAGATCTCCAAACATAATCAGCCAACGTTGAAGATAGCTTTTCATATTTAATCTACGGAAGTCACGGCACACTCGAAGCATCACAAAAGAGTTTATCTATGAAAAAGATAGAGCACAACGGAATCGGTGTTGCAAAATCAGCTTGGATAGCAAGTAGAATAAATTTAGGTTAAACGTTTTATCGATTCCCGCGGACTCTCTGAAGGAACGGTGTGTTTCATTCAGTTGAATTCATCGTTGGACACCTGAACAAATCCTTAACCGGCTAAGGATGTCAAGGAAACGATGAAACTCGCCTACTAGGCAGTATGCATAATTCACTCGCCCGATTTGGCATCGTGAAGAAATACCATACGCACCGGAAATCATCGAAGAGAGATACACGTACACACCGACGAGTGAGTCGTACGTACATGAAGCCCTGAAGAAGGACGTTCGCAAATTCGACAGCCTTAGAGTGCACGTTATCGATCTGGTTACTTTCATGACCTAGGAATAGACAACTCGTATCGACATTTTCGCACGTGTGCCAAAGGATGCGTTTTAAAGTTCGCAGAACCAGCTGGATTCCTCGCACGGGTTATGTCGTGAACTTTATTACGCCTCGTAATGATGTATGCATATATCTATCACGTAGGTGGTTTGCGACTTTCTCGATACTCGTAAAAGTCTGATATTGATCATTATGACACGAATGTGCCAACACGAACTCGATAAAGCTTCAGTCGTGAACGAGAATTGTCATTGATTATTATTTTCATCTCCGGATGAAAATGTAATTTTAAGAGGCAGAGATCCTGAATTCGTACGTTATTGTCGTTTAAACAGAACGATAAAATAAATCATGATAGAACGTCTTGAAATGACAGTTGAGTGGCAATTAGCATGTTTTATGCAACACGTTGCATCCATGAAATATCAATCTCTACGTTTCGTGTGGTCGTAAAGCGTCGCTAGTAAAAGGCTACCTCGTTACATTCGACAGAAGTCATTTCACGGCTCTCGAATATCGAACACGCCAGCGGGTTTCGCTCCCTTCGTCAATAAAACGGCAACATGTGCTTTACGTTCGTTTTATAGCCAGGCTAGTTTCAGAACTCTTATAACGTATTTCAGACATCAGCGAGCATTTCCCGCAATCATTTCTCGCGGACATTAACGCGATTCTGTGTCCCATCACGCTGCGATACGTCGGATATAGTGCACAAACCTTCCGAATCGATTTCGTCGTGAAACTAAGCCGCCTAGGAAAACCTCACTCCATTTTTGCTAATTCATTCTCTTTACATAGATTTTTTTATCTCTGATGATAATAGATATTCAGTTCTAAATGTCAGCGCTATAAGAGTCGTTAGAAAGGAGAATACTTCAGAACGGTAGAATAATAAACAAGCCGGCATTGTTATGTACTTATTTTTTTTTTTTAATTTTGGTTGTCCGCTTCTGATTTAGTTCGATAAGAAACTAAAGATATAAAGGTCAAAGAGTGATCAATTCCTATGTTCACAACATTATTCCAATTCTGTCGAGCAATCAATTTGTCTTAAATTAATTCCACCGATACGTATAATCTTCGTTAAATTAATTTTGCAGGAAGTGAATGCTTAATTTTAACCAAATAATTAACGAAACTCTATGAAATTGACCAGTTTGGCGCAATCTCAAAAGCACCAAGCATCATATCACACGCACCAAGGTAAGAAATCAATCAAAGTTGGAAGCAAAATTTTAAAACAGCTGAGCACCACTGATACGCCACATTTTTCCTTCGACGGTTTCTTTCACGATCGCCGTTCTATCGTCTCTCTCTTTCCAACCACCGTGTCTCCCCCACCAACTCAGGTGAGCAAAACGCTTACCTCGTCTCACCTGTTTTCTTAATTTCTTGACTACGCGCGTTTGCGATTTTCGCGCTCGCTTTACATCGAGACAGCGCGAGATCGATAGAAGTCACCGGTCTACCTGCCGCGAAATACGCGGCGGATAAACCGCGTTATCGATCTTCCTCGTTCTTGATACATCGGACAACTCGTTCGAATCGTTCGTCGCGGAATACGAACTTGGATCAGCAGTTTCTTCTTATCGTGAGTTTCGTGCATCGAATCGGTTTTATCACGGCGATAACGTTTGGTGAAAATGTGCCGCGATCGATAAGCATGCGGATTCCGACGACTACGCTGCCGGACCACCTGTTTTTTAATTCTTTTGTTTACTATTGAACGCAGATTCGTCGAGGCGAATCGAATTAATCGGTTCGAACGCACTGCGTCGCGTCGTTTCAAACGCTTTAAACTGTGATTCGTGTGGAACGGAGACCGAGAACGGATTAACGAATCGTCGAATAGTTTGGAAATTAAGCATAGATCTAGTGGGAACGTATTAATCGTGTTAGATCTTCGAGATCAACGAACTGTCACGCGATCTTCTCGTGTGTGTGCATGCCCACGTGATTTGTTTTTCTTTTTCTTTTCGATTTGTATCGTTTCTCAACCGGAAAATGTTAATCTGCGAAAATTGTAGAGAATGCGGTGAAACCTCGAATTCTGTATGATTTACAATCACCGGTCACCGTCACGATCGCGGTTGCGATCGCGGACGCAACTCGCGCGATTATCGTGCTATGAAATCTGTGTAAACCAGTTCCTTCGCTTGTAATTTCGTTTGTTATTCGCAAACGTATTCACTTTCGGGCCGTATCCAGTTTCATTTGATCGAGAAGTGCCTTGGGTTGCTCTGCCATATTGGGACCAACTGATCATCCATTGTCCTAAGATGAAACACACTCCGACTATTGTATAGACTTCCTTTTATAGCCACGTGGTATCGTATCTATTCAAAATCTATTATTTTCACGCCAATGAATTTCTTTATTAGATTCGTGCATTGTGACGATACGATCGTAAAAAAAATGTAAAAATCGTGGAAACTAGATTCTTCGAAGATATTAGAACCTGTGGCTAATTGTCACACGTGCAACGTTCATGGACGGAACTTTAAAGAATCCAATTTTGACATAACGCGGTATAATCGTTGGAAATGCTAAGCGCATATCGATAATAGTTTTTAAGTTTGCTTCAGCTAGTTTTAATCTACTGAACTTCGCGCTACCTTGAACAATCTTATCAGCGCATTCACGAACGTGGCAACGCGTTACGTGGTGCATCGATTTAACTGGTGCAAAATTTTCAACCGAGTATCGGCAACGCTCCGCGCTGATACCAGCGAGTTTCGTGAATTTCCCCCTACTCAGCTTTAGCTATCTATTTTTAACCGACTCGCCCGTTATCGCTTTAATATCAATAAATTATAATTCCACTATAAAACATAGTATCTTATTGCACAAAACGATTACTTCGTCGTTTACGTGTTCGTCTCTTTCTTGGAAATTATTATAGACGGTGGTGGAATACACAAATGAAAAATTGTAATACTTCTTTCAAGTCGTACGTTTCCACGTTCCAGCCTTAATCATTGTTAATTGTTGTACTTTTACGGCGCTATCGAGGCGCACCGCTCGTGACGTTTCTCGTAAGTCGACGATAATATCACGATAGTCTGTTACCTTTACGATAGCGTTAATTGCCGATGACGAAACGTGATCATGTATATGTTCGCCCGAACTATGTTTACCGATAAAAACCCGTGAAACATTCGTTGTACGGACAATAATTCGTCTAGAAAATTTTACATTCGTTTCTGTTGAACCGATTCGAGCCGTGGTTCGATTAATTCACGCAATTTATTTATTAATTCGACGCGGGAACTAACGCACACGCACACACACACACACACACACACACACGCGCGCACACACACTCTCTCTCTCTCTCTTGTGGTAATTCGATGGAAGTTGTTAGTTGAAAAGTTGCAAATTTTTCTAGCTTTTTTGAAAATAGAAACAATCAAGCGCGATAACTTCGATACGATTAGTTCGCATCGTAATGATAAGGAAGAAACGCGATAAGAAAAAATACTGATACAGTGCACTTCTGACTGCAACGATTGCGACCATGTGATTTCTTCAGAAGGTTGGGGAATTCTTTGAAATCAATATTGCGGATAAGAAAAAGATGGAATGTGTGGAACTGATAAGGACAAGTATATACAAATGAGGAAAAGATAATGAGAGGTAGGCTATATTTCGTTGATCAGTCGCGGATTTATCGGTAGAGAAAGAGGGTCACGAGTAATGACGTGATAGTTAATGCGACACGATTTGGTAGTGGTATTTATTAATTTCAATAAAATTCTGGCTAACTCGAGCGCAAAATCAACGGCGATCGCGAGATTAATAATTGAGCTATTGGTACAATTGATAACGATATGCCGCCAGCAGCGGTTAATTAATTATAGCCTCTAATGGAACTACTTGAAAGCAAATACATAATGCGTAATAGGATCGCAGGCCACAGTATCAACATCTACAATGGATTACCTCTGACATCAATATATTCTTAATTAATCATTACCTCGCAGTTTTTTTTAACATTCTGCCAATAGAATTTAATTCTACACTGAAACTACCAAACATGATTGTAATATAAACACATGTGCTTGTATTCGTAAAAGAATTAAAATAATAATCTAAAATTTTCCATAAGTGATATAAATCGAACTTTGCTTCTTTTTTCATTTAAGAATTTTTTTTTCTAAACTCGACGTCTGTTTCTAGAATGAAAATCGAAATTGTATTACACGTAGCCATTATAAAGAACATTAACATTCGATTTGTTAACCGAAATATATTTTCTCAGGAGGAAAACAATTATCTAGATGCTTTTATACGATAGCGTAGAATCTCTTTTTAGGTCTTTAATTATCGGTAATTGCAGCGTTCAGTTTCTACTATTTCTGCTACTTGTTCACGATTCAAGGGCGAAGAATCTCGAGAAATAGAGACCGACAACCAATGGTTGAAAAGGAACAGTTAACCTGAGAACAGCATTTACCACGGAAGTTTGCACGTTGTTTGGCCACGATTTGTTCGATCAACGTTACTACCGGAACAATAAACGTCGTTCGCAATGGAACGATCTCTCGCTCGGTTCTGTAACAATTGCGCGATCCACGCGCGGCTATAATGCGATTCTATTGATCCGATTCACGGTCTGACGCGGCTCTGACCGGCCGCGTGGCAGAGAAATTTGCAATAATCGGGAATCGACGAAAGCCGCTTAATTGTTCGCTCGAACGCGTGTTCGTTCTACGAGCTCGGTGTTTTATTGACGGTTCATCCGCAGTGCTTCGCGTGATTGGAGTTACACGTGAATCGGACGTTTATCTCCGTCGGGCCGACCTCGATGAAGCGCGGCCAATTTCACCTGGCCGCTGAATCCTTTTGGAAGAACGAAACGCAGCCAATTCGTCCAGCTGAGACGCGGAACAATTTTTTAATAGGACTTTGCGGCTGAAAAGGGAAGAACTCTGTTCGGTTGTACGTGTGTATGTGTGTATATCGAGTTTGGCACGATGACAACACTGAAGAAGGACGAGAAGCGGGCTTCGAAGAAGTCGAAGAACGTCAGCCAGAAAATCTCGAGTTGCAAGAAGCAGGTACCCCCGAAGAACAGAGAATCGAAGGTGCAAGCAGGTACTGCGGTCTTAGACGAATTTCGCCTTCGAAGTTTTACTCCTCGATATTACGCTCTATTATCTACCTACCGAGAAATCCTTTTAAAAACTTTTTAAATCTCCAAAGTTCCCGATATTCTCTATCTTTCTCTAATATCTTATTAACCTGTGCTTGCCTGAAAGTAATTTAAAAAAATAACTCGTCGTTTCAGAGGAACCAAGAGAGGATCTATCGATCCTCGGTGGCAACGACGATGCGCAGGGGGATGAGAAGGCGGCAAGGGCGAGCGGGAGATTCGAACGGAAGTCGTTTCGTCGGAAAATCGGGTCACTGATAAGAGGCAGCGCCGCGGAGTTACCGGCTGTGATAAATCGCAGTCTGCAACCGATTAAGCGTAGTTTGAGCTTCAGTAAAGACTTGAACCGTGTGCAAGAACCCTCGAAACCTCATAGGCCGAGCAGCGTACATTGGTATAACAGTTTGGTGTCTTTGGCCGAGGATAAATGTCTGGACGAACAGAATGACAGCCCTCCGAGCAACAGCGAGGAACTATTTTCCCCGAAGGTTCAAGTTACCAGGACGCAGAGTCTCATCGATACCACTTCCGTAAGAGTCGCTATTGGTATAGATCGAGTTATCCATTGGGATCTATCGAGTTTAGCTAACCGCTAACGTCTGTCGTGCAGCTAAATTGATCGAGTTTGCAGTTGAATTAATTTGTTTTTCTTGAGGATGATAGATTAAGGGGCGTCGCTGGATAGGATTTGCGAGGGCAAGGTGTTTGTTGATGGCGATTTAGAATGGCAGATTTATTTCGTTTCATCGATCGGACAGATTCTTCAATTTAACCAACGTCGGCTTAGTTAGTTCACCTCCTCCCCGCCCCGCAATTAAGATCTAATGAGTGTTTCCATCGAATTTCATTGGGATTTTAAGCGGATTTGAAATGGAAATCGAGTCGTTGGGGAAGATGTAGCCGTGGATGATGGGTTTGCATTCGTATTTAACGTAGAATCCAATGGGAATTTTGTGGTAAAACGGGATGAACGAAATTGTTAGCCACGTCGCTAATTTTTAAGTTTTACCCGCGCAATCGAGTTCGATTGAAGAAATAAGAATAGGTACACAATGGAATTAATTACGGCTCGCTGGGCGAGCTACGAAAATTCTCGTCGTTGACTGATATATATATATTTATTTTATTTCTATCTCGAATGGATATTCGCTCGATTGTGATCTGCAAACTAAATTGTTTGGCACAATGGAAATTCGACAAGGCACTCGAGCTCAAGCGCTACTTTCCGTCGAATTAAATTAATATGAACATTGATTTTGAGCGCTTTCAATAATTAGTAGACTGTGAATGTTTATGCAAATTCGTATCTTTATAAATAGAAGGTATTTACCTCAGTCTCTAAATATTATAAAGATTACTTTACTTTGGGTAATTTATATATCTTTATACATGATATCTGTGTTTGAATTTCCAAAAAATACATAAATATCCTCAGTCTAGTAATTAATAAATATCAGGTGGCGGAATCTAGCGACCTCTTAGACACGTTTTCAATCGTTTGAACTCCTCGAAATATCTCTACTTCACTTAGTGTCATATCGAAGTACTATCCGTTCTGACGCGAACAACTCTATTTAATAGAACAATAATAATATTTTCTCGTCGCTTCGATAGGGTGTGCCCACGTCGTATCGATAAGACTTGACTTACTGGCGAGCGAGGTTAAATTAATGTCCAATGAAATATAAAGCTATCTGTCTTGGCTACAGCAAAAATTACTTTCTGTTAAAACAATAACTCATTCTTTTCTCTGACAATAATATCGTAACCTTTTTTCCAAATGTAGAAGCAAATACATAAACATTCGAAGAAAAAATATTACTCTAAAGTACCTAGCAATATTAAAATTCGAATTATATTCAGGTCTCGAAATCATGTTCTATACTATATATTAATTAATAATTCAAATAAAATTTAAATACGAACCAACCTCGAGACTGCTCGGTATTCGCCGTAAAAATTTGATCAATAATTTTGCCTCCGCTTCGTAACCGGGCGCGAGAGTAAATATTTGCTTGATAGATTAATTCAAGATTCTCTATCCTGTTTCTTTCTTTCTCTTCCTTAATACATTTCCCTGTTAAAAGGAGAGCGACGGTATCAGGGTCTTGATATCTTGATTTGCCGCATGTAATCGGGTTCGGACGTAGGAGGCGCATTAAGCGGATGAAAATATCCGCGTCGCGTCGGTATAATATGGAACTGAAAGAGATATCTTCTTCGGCCACGCTAGAAAAAGATCGTTAGGTCGATGTAAATAAAAGAGGCTTTCGAGTATCGCGGTAAATCCCGCTTGGCTCTATTCTTGTACGTAACAAGGATCTTTCGTCTTGTCCCGACCTGCATCCCTTATCGAGATAGCTAGATGAACTTGCCGGAAACGATGTTCTCAGAAACCTCCTCGATTGTACATCTTTCGGAGCTCTCTTAATTTTCATGTGCGTTCGAGCGTCTCGATCCGATGTAAAAGAAATTGCATCTTCCAGCAGACTAGAAGTACAAGAAGACGAGTGAGCGAGGCACTGAGTCGAACAGCCCCTTACGGACGACACAGCGACCATTATGACTCTACAATAGGTAATTTGAATTTTTCTTATTCCATTTGGATTTGTGGAAATTATCAAAGAAGCCGATTACCAGTTGGAAATAACATTAAAGACAATAATTGCATCCGTGATAGGATTTGAAATGGATCTTTTTATCTCGCACAATTATTTGGTTAATTTTCCTTTCTAATCAGCTTCGCGAAGAATTAGGTATCGTTTAAATTTTTCTTATTGTGAAACGCAGTCGTGATTGAAAGTTTCCGTATTCTTTCTTTCCAGATTTAAGTAATCCGCCCTGGGAGGCCAGTAGTCTCCCTGCTCTCACGCACACCGCCACGGATGAAAGCTACAACGAGCGAATATTCCCGTAAGTAATGCAAGATTTACCATTTTATTGAATCTTGACCGGGTAAAAGAGATGGCGAGAAATAACAAAATTTTTCAACTTCTCCCCCAACGGATATAAGAATGAAAGGAAGAAGAGGTTGCTCTCGAAGAAAGTTGGATCGAGCTAAGTTCTCGAACTGTTAGTCTTTGTTGTTTTTTTAATTGAAGAAACTACTATGATCATATTGGTCCCCAGGCGGAGTGGCCTTCTGTTATCAACAACTAACAGTTAATTAAAGTCGCTTTTCCTAACGTGGCGGCGAGATGCGACCCTTTTCTTTAAAGACAGCTGAGTAAATTGCGCCTCGAAACGGTTTGATGTACGAAGTTGAGATCTCGTAACTCGTGTTTCGACATCAGAGACTTGGCTGTCCCTCACGTGAATCACTTGGAAAATGTAGAAGATTGCTACCTCGCCTTAAACCATTAATTCCAAAGGAGACGCTTTTACCGATAAGAAACAGGGATAGCTTTGAAGCCACTTCCTGTCGATCGATAGCACGACGAAAAAGAAACCTTAAATCAATCTAGCGACGTATCAACTCCAAGAGTGAGACGATCTTGTCTAACATCTTGTAACATCTAAGAATTGTTTCGAAAGTAGGAGAACTCCTAGAAAAGAAACCTAACAAGCCTCTGTGATGTATCTTCAGCCAGCACCGATACTCGTTGCTCCTTTCCACTGGGCTTTGTTTCAAGATACATGACTTTCTTCTATTCTCCTGCTTCTCCTCCCCGCCGCCAGCGAACGAAAAAGTCATTCGTTACCACTTCGAATCACCTTGTACTACAAAAGCATAAGTTTACGTGCCACGTACGTAATTGGTTCGACCCAGTTGCTAACAATCCCGAGAAGTACCCGGGCCGCACTAGCCCTGAGCAATTCCGGTTATTCTTTCTCGTGGATGGAAACGAAAGGAATGCGGTACACGATGAGATCCCTCTCTTTTACCCTTCCTCTTCCTCTTCCTCTTCCTCTCCCTCTTTTTCTCTATTTTTTTCCCCTAAAAACAACTAGGTTAAGAACAATGAATTTCAACGGAGATGCGATAAAACATTTTGCAGGTTTTCATCTCTATCTTCAAGAAAGAAAGAGGAAAAAGGACAGAACCAAAGGAAGGATTTCGATATTAAATGTATTAATGCACAAAGACAGATAGCAAGGTCAGAGATCATAACTGCTCTGATAGATCCTCGAGGGAGTCAAAGATCTCGGTACATGACAGGAAGCCAGAACAACATGCCACTTCGTTTCTTCTGTCTCAGGACAGAAGAATGATACGGGTCTGACTGGTGGTGTACTCTTGGCATACGTGAGATCCGACTATAGTTAATTTTCCTTGAAAGGATACGGAAGGAAGCGCATGCGGAAGGAAACGTTCTCCCAATCTCGGTAATGCCTACGCAGCGGCCCATACAGGAACGCACACATAGCCATCAAAGGTTCGAGCTCAGCGGGAATAGAACACGGGGCAAGGCAGAGAGGTTTTAATCAGTGCTGGACTGTTTCGAGGAGAGTATAGTAAAGGGAATATACGAGGAGCAAATCTTAACGCGAGTTCCTGAAATTCGCAGCGAACGCATCGACGAACGAACAGAAAGGATACACATGATGAAAAAGATATAGAGTCTTCTGTTTCGCCTAGCTCGGCGGCATTTATCTCACGGCAAGATTAAAACACTCAGAGAAGGTTAAATAGAAAGTATCAGTGAGATCATTTTCTTGGAGCTGCGTGTAGCCGAGGAACCTGTCTTTATTTGCATTCCTTTCTCTCACGATGTTCGGTTCGATCGTAACGAGATTAAAATTAATTGCCGAGCTTCATGAATGAAAGATAACAGAATTCGCTTTTTTTCATTCTTTCCTTTCTTTTTTTTCTAATTCTATGGAAGAAGGTATATAGACTGAACGACTCCGCGCTCGTCCCTTTTCCCTTTCATTTCAACGGGTTGATCGATATGAAATCAATCTTTATCGACGCGCGTAGCACCGGCCTGTTACACTAGGAACTGCGGTGAAAATCTTGCGCTGGAATTTGCAAAATTCCCCCGGAATCGAGAGCGATATAATACAAGACGAGCCGGCCATTAATCACACGCGAAGTTCATCAGCGAACACGTGACAATATCGAAAACCATTTCATTTTCAATTTATCCGCCGTCATCCATTATACAGCGTGCGGATGATTCTTAAAACGAAAAATCGCTTTCAATTGAAATGATGAATTGCACGGATCCTCGCTGTGATGAATTACCGTGGAAAGTTCCTTAATGAGGGAACAAAAATAAAATTTCTTTCAGTGGTTAATTAAAGCGATCTGCAAATTGTTCCCGGATGACGACTCCTTTGTTCTTCATCCATTGTAATCCAATCTGTCGTACAAAACAAAATAGGAACGTGATTTATTTTCAGCAAATCGATACACTCGCTGAAGGGTGTATATTTAACCAGTCAACTTTTTGTTTCAGCCTTAAAAAGGAGCAACAGGTCAGACGCGAATGGAGGAGCCTGAAAACAACTGGCCGAAATTTGTCTCTCCTAGATGTCGACAAATCTCCCGTGCAGCTTCATTCGGTAAGTGTCCAACAAACATTTTAATTAGTTTAACGCTTTCTCAAACTCGCCTGAGCTTGTATTTAGGTTTACTTGCTTTATCCCCTGAATCGGACCGTATGTTATCGCACCGTCAGAGTAGGTTTCTAAACTATTAATCACACGGCTAACAAGGAATTTCTTTTCCTCTAACATCGTGCTGATATGATATGTTCTGTCACAGAATGCTTCGTCATGTTCTAGATGAGATATAATTACTTTCAGCTTTCCAAGCTATTTCATAGTTTCTAAAAGAAAAAGTTCAATTTGAAAACCATATCATTACGTTGTAATACTGTTTTCTTGAAAATCTTATTCTATACTTTTCACTTAGTTTCGCATGTGAATAATAATATTCGGCTGATTATCTATTTGTATCCAGTCGACGATCAGCCAAGTGTATATATTATACCAAAATGTTCAAATCTGATTTTATCGAAAACGAAGCGCCACACGAACAAATTTCATTCTACACTTTTTATTTACTTATTCACGCAGAATCAGCCAGTTATCGAGCGTGCCAGTTATCGATTGCTAGCACAAACTGTATAAAGTGAATTCGAAGCCGAAATGGAAAATAAAATTAACGCGTGACGAGCAGCACCAAACATCGTTCAAAGTAGACATCTCATGTCCAATTAAAGCTTACTGGGAAAGTTGATAACCGGCGTAGTTTAACAACGATACAAACGAGTGCATAAACTTCGTTACGGTGTTCGGTATCTTCGTTAATTAATTGCGGAATAATCGCAGAGAGTGTTGCATAACTGTGCAATGCTATAGCACTCACCCCGTAATCTTCTCATACAGAAGAAGATCTTTCTAAGGATATTCGATGGCGGAACTTTCTCCATAATTAATACTCAAAGGATTTTCGCGTCGATCCCCGGACACGATACGCGGAGGAGGAGATCGGCTTTGAAACGTTTGCGGTAGATTTCTACAAGGTCCTCCTATGCTTTTGACTGGCGCAGCTCGTCTACTCGGCGAACAATCCCCGTTTTCGTGCGGAAAGAACTACAAAAAAGTCTCTGCCAGAGGCATCGGCTCTCTGTGCACCGCCTTTGAGATTCACCCAAAGATACGTCTTTCTCCAACACGCCCATCTTTCTATTAAGCGATCCTGAATCGACGCTGGCTGCTTATTATTCGCGATAATTGAGATTCGACGTGGTTGTTCGCGATCGTCAAAAGTGAGACCTGACAAAAGGGAAAGAGCATTCGCATAGATGTCACTCGGGATTCCCTTTGAGCTTGTTTCAGAACGTTACGAAATATGAAGCAAAGTATTCTTCGCGGCATTGATAATGCCTCCACGTGCTTCCTTTTCAACGTTTATCACCACAAAACGTAAAGGACATGGCGCAACTCTTTGATACTGCGGTTTCCGTTTCGTGCACGTGACACTTTACAATAGAAAACGTCCAAACGATGACGTTTGTTTGCACGGCCACAGAGGCTTCCGAGAATATGAGATACTCTAATCTCCGTCATCTTCATCCACGTTCTACTAAACGATACTTAGGTTTCCAAGAATAAGGCGCGAATATCCCCCGCGGTATCTCAGCGAAACTGAAACTGAAATCTGCGTGTAACACCGGTAATAACCTCTTTTGCCGACCGGGGAAATTAATCACGCTCTTAATTAGAGGAAAATGGACGTAGTAACTGATAAAGCTGCCAAAGCAAGAGCAATTATTCCCGCCTTCGTACGTTTACGATCCTTGAAAAAAAAAAAAAAAAATGAGCTTCGCGAATATTCCAGGAAGGAAAAACGGTAAAGATGCATCTGAAAGTGCGAGTCAACGAACATCGAATCTGATATGTCCGCCAAGGACGAAGACGTCGGTCTCGAATTTGATTCGCGATACGAATCGTACGACACTGGTTTATTGTTTCGAAATGCGATCGTGTCGATCCTCTCGTACTCGCCCCTTCGCTCTAAAATCCATAGCAATCGTGTCGATTTTGTCACTCTTTGAATGATGCTTCACAGGGTCAAATACGAGCGAACACAGGGTCGTTAAATTCGTCGAAACACGATTGCATGAAAAGCTCGTCTTCCGTTCTTGCCTCTCATCTTTTTCGCCTCTTCTTTTTTCGGGTCGAACGAGTAAGGAGCAGATAGGACCTGGACAATGAGGAACACGAATCGATGATGGAATTAATGGGCGTTCTCCTTTAATACGAAACTCTCGTCTCCGTTTCATCTGGCGCCTCTTGTTCACGAATTTCTGACAGCTTCCCACGACCGATCCGAAGCAGAGAAACGTTGCGCTACATTGTCACATCATGATTCCTCTCCTTCTCTCTCTTTCTCTTTCTCTCTGTTTCTCGGTCCTTGTCCTTTGTCCTCGCTTTCCTTTTCTCCTGTGTTTCGCTTTCTTCGTCTCTTTTTATCTCGTCCCATTCTTGTCTGCTTCATTCGCACTCATTCCACTGATTTCATTTGCCCAGCAGGACGATTCAATCTGCTCACCGTTCTGTATTACTTATCGCGGTTCTCGATTCCCGTTGAATCGAACGGCGTCCTCGCGTCGACCAGGCGACCGTCGATCATGGGCGATGCAACGCAACGTTTCGCCTCGCTGTCCACGAATCGAGAAAAAAATCTCCGGCGTTTCACGTTGCCACGGCGGCGTCGATTTAGCGCGAAATTTTTAATCAACCGCAGTATGGTACGCGACTTTCAACGGAGATTCATACGATCGATCCATTCGACGAGGAAAGAACGCAAAGAGTAGCTGTTCCGGCGCGAATTATAGCGCGGCAAATTCACAGCTGCGAGTTTCCGTTAAATCTCGGTGAAGTTGTTGCCAGGAGCACTCGTATCGAAGGACATAAATTAAAATGAATTCACATGGAATTGGTTACACCTCGTTTCACGATTGTGGCTTTAGAAGAAAGAGAATGAAAAGGAACGTTGGCGACCAATGTAGGTCAGCAAATGCGCTGCAGGCTCGGATATTTTTTATTTATTAAAGCCTAGAAAATTGGATTGACTTTAAGTCGGTTTCTTCATTAGGATTAGCCTGTGTATCGTGCAGGACGGAAATTAATAAAATCAAAGTAACTGTTGCTGGCCCTCCGCCTGGAAGTTTTAATGAACGGTTAATTCACTCGGCGCCCATCGGTGATTTTTTCAAGCGGCTCGAGCTTTTAATTAAAAAATTCGCCCGAAATCCGACCCGATGACCAGTCGAAGTTTAACGAAGTTGTATTCCCGTATCTTGATGAAATAAGTTTTCAGCGCGAGCTATCTGCCGGTGATACGAATACGAGAAAAGGGAGGAAAAAAAGATCCGACGAAGATACCGGCGAAAGTTTTAACGAACGATGATTTTTTCTCTGGACTGTACACGGCATTCGAAAGGATATCGCGGTGCCTGAACTTTGGTGTGATATCGAGATCAATCGATATTCCAGTGGCGATGCACGTTTATGATTTTTCCGAGTAATTCAGTATGGAGGTTCGATTGACCCCGCAACATCTCCGGCTCGCAATCGATCGCAGCCGCATAACTCTTTTCCGCGATGTTCCATCAGACTTATGGTTGCACGTGGCTGATATCGATCCTAGGAAAAACGGTGCAAATAATGAAACATCAAATGCAATACGATTGCTCGTTGAAAAAACGAGAGAAAAAGACCGTCATGAAATAACTTAGTTCATCCAGGTGTTTTTGTCATTTTTACCGTATGTATTTTCATTGCTTTCCGTGTAAACAGTTGGTATTCATAAACAGTTTCATCAGGTTTCACGCATTAGCTTCCATGTTTGATAATTTGGAAATTTAAGAGCGTTTCGGTTGTTATGCAAAGATACCGCGAATAAACTATTCGTGTAAATAGACTGATATCAATTTTGGTCAATTACGTAGAATAACGATATGGTAAATATAGTATTCTCTCGCGTGCATTGTAATATTACGTACGATGTAATAATAGAATATATCTAGGGTTCCGGTTTAATATGATGCACACAATAGCTTGTTTTAATCTATGCACGGGTATACGTCAGGAGAATTAAAAAAAGGAACGATCTTTCTTGAATAACACGTGATATTTAAATATCTCAATTTTCAGCTTTCATCGTATAAAAACTTTGGTGCGGCCATTTTTTCTCACTAACCTTGGAATACCCTTTTCGCCATCCACGCTATCGATTTTTTGCGCGCGAAATTCTGCTGACCTCCTCTAACCCGTATCTGCCAAATTTTTTTCATATAATCTTCCTTCCTGTCGTGTATTTACTATTTCCGTATATTTTATGCAAGCTGGTGTGAAAGTAAAGCGACGATAAGTTTCGATGTTTAAACAAAAAGTTATCTATTTAGGTTATTCGAGAATTTCTACAAAAGATGGGTATTTTAGACTCGTGAAAAATGCAACAGAGATGCGTACGATGAACGTTCCAAAAAGTACGCAAGGAATCATTGTATGTTAGGAATTTTACGTCACCGATGAATGTCTATGAGTCATATTTACCTCTAAACACCTGCCCAAACTTCAAATACTCTCATGTAGATATGTCTTACCCAGCAAGACATTTTAACGGACGAATTGCATTGAAAGAAATCGTAGAAGTAGAAACTATAACACCTCCATTCCAGGAATTCTTCTGATACTGACAATTTCTACAAATTTGAAGCGATGGAATATAGTCATCGGAAATACAAACTACGTCGAATTGGAATATTGCGCAACACCAATCGAACATTATTCGACATTGAAATAATTCATTTTAATGACATGATCGAACAAAATTGTCTCCAGCTTGGAATGACGATTCACTAAACGACGATTCCTAAAGCTGAAGAAAAGTTCGCATGGCGTAGAGGAACGCAAAGAATTCAAATACTTCCAGTGAACTTCAAAATGTTTGGTCGTGCTACTTTTGCCTGGTCTTGTACAATATCCGGTACAAAAATCCTAAACACTACGTGCAGTACTTCGAGCGAACACTTATCCGCTGTGTGGCTGGTCCCTGAAGCGAAGCAAAGTATCGTGGTATCGCGCGTAATTAAATGTCCCGGGTTCCCCGGAGTGTCCCGTCGGGTAAGCGCATTAAAGCGTGGCCCGGGCCGTGCCACCTTCTTCCATTTCTCTGTGTTTTCGAAAACTGCCTCGTTCCACAGGGTGGTCGCGTTAAGTGAGAAAGATGAGGGCGGGAAGGAAAGTAAGATCTATAGGTCGGGAGGGAAGTCCAATCGCTCTGGAGCGGCAAACGGGGAATGAGATGTGCCGCGAAAAGGGGGTAGAATACGTTGCGTTTTTCCCTACACGTTTTTCTCTTATTTCCTGGTTGATTTCTTTAGTTCCTATCGCGGAAACCGAGAATCGAACAGTGGTATGCACTCATGTTTCCCGCTGGCTTTCCCCTCAAACCTTCAACACTTTTTCTAATTCGCGCCTTTTCAGCCGCGATGCTTTCACGTTACCTTTGCCTCACCAGGCTTCCAGTGTACAGGGTATCCCGGCAATAAACGTATAGTCGGGAAGAAAGCAGTTAGTAGAAAATGTAGAATAAAGTTTTTCCAAGCGACGACCCGTTTTCGGGGAGATTCAGTTGAGAAATTTGGTTAAGTATTCTTGAAATTCGTTGATTAAGGATTAGAGATAGGCGCGAGTGCGACAAGAGGTTACGCTACGTGCGAAAATAAATGGAAAGTGTAGAATAAATTTCGTTCACAAGACGTTCCATCGCTGAGAAGAAAGTAAAATTTGAAAATTTCTCGTGTGGGTGTATGTAAGTCAATTCTTGGTTGAACATGTTCGAACTTTACGATAGTTGAAACTATTTTCTTGTGAAAGAAGTCTTAAACAGGAAAACAATTTTTCCAACTCGTTTTCTTAAAAAGCGAGGCGCCTAGTGAAAAACTTACGTTCCATATTTTCGATTTATTTTTCCACGTAGAACCACCCCCTTGTCGATTGTATCACGATTATTGGATACACCTGTATATTCACGTGTGTTTGTAATGCCTTTTCGTTTCCCTTGCGAAAATGGTTTCGTGAAAGCTCTCCCTGCCTGATGCGTTTAAATTATCGCGATAGCAAGGGTGGATGAATCTAAAATAAGACAACTACGATGTGGTGGAATTTTTTGGAAAATCGTTGCTCGACTGAGATTCCAGCGCACGGATTAACAGATTTTCCCTGGCAAGAAGTTTCTTCAAACTTGACGTTTAATGAATGAGATATGAAGAGCTCGTGATCGTTACTTTGCATTGCAGATTAAGTATCGATCATCGGACTATCAGATTCATCGGACAATCATTCCTCTATGATCTTGAAACGGTATAATGTTAACGATAGTATGTACGAAAACCGTGGCGCGTTATGCATTAGTATGTCTGTAAAAGTAGAAAGTAACAAATTGTATTTTTTGTTGGTTCGTGAAGGATGTGATCCTTATGCATGAAGACGTCACAATTAGGTAAAATAAGAAAAAGGCTCGTACTCTTTAGAAAAATCCTGGCTGGAAGCGTCTTAATTAAAGGAACCTCGATTAAAATAGAGCGTCTAACAATTAACATAACTTATCCCAACCAGCATTCGTACATATATACACAAGCGAATCTTCTCATCCGAAACCTGTTTTCAAAATAAAGAAGATGCCCGCCGTGATATTCCTTTAGGTGGATGGTATATGAAATTTCGTTTCTCTGGAAGATGAGTTTTAACGTTGATGGGCCAATATTATTAAGATCTATTAAATTAATTTGTTCTAAAATCTTGGCCTACTTTGTTTTACTACAGTTATTAATCACGTTAAAGAAACAAGAATTTGCTATAAATTACGCATATAAAGTGTTAACAAGATTTATAGTAAAAATATGAAAAACCTAAATCTCTTAAAAAAATATTCATATTAAAAAGGCTGCTCTGTCCAAGAATATCGATATCAGAAGCATTGGTTACAATATTTTATATTCGATTCTATATTCCACATGCGCGTTCCCTTTTTCACGAAATATCACGAATTTGCCATCTATCGCTGAAAAGCTTGCATCTTCCAATGGAATAAGTTATTCATCTCTCAACTACTAACGCTAACTAATACTAACCGTACTATATAGAAGTACATTACCTTTTGATCATTAAATAACGTTAGAACCAGAAAACTAGCGAGACTATACTTATCACATTTTTCTCCTGTAATCTTCATATGCACCAAACGCATGTACGCTCGTTCAAATTCTCTGAAAGTTTCAACGCGCGATAAAGATTGAAAAGAAAACGATTTCGACGAAGCTCGGACTATTTTGCTTCCAGCTTCTCGCCCCTTAAAAAACAGTCGCTCGACGAGCAGAAAGATCGTCCTGTACGACCTCTCCTCCTCACGCAGGCAATTTCTACGTTTCTCCGTTCGCTTGTGTCAAACCTCGAAGAAGAGGGAAAGAAGAGTTGTGAAGACGAAGAAGAAGCTACGTAAGCGAGGGGCGAAGAGCAGTGGGAAGCGTGACAAGGGTGGGAGCGAGCGTAGGGATGGAGGTGGCGTTCGATGTCCGCGCAGTTTCGAGCCATCCCCGTCCGGAGAGAATCGGTATGGGGGTGGGTCGAGTTCGAAATGACGGAGAACGGATTTTCCGTCTAGTAGAACGCGCGACCTCAGCCCGGTAAGATCGACGCCGCCCTCGCCCCCGAGACAACACGAGACGCGGTGAAACAAACCGACGAACGAACGCGACCACGATTCCGCTTAGAGCTGGAACGCTGCCGACACCCTTCGCCAGCGTTGTATCCTTATTTTTGGGCTATCGAAGGTGCAGAGTAACATTCTCTCTGTTACGAATCTTGGCAAATATAATAAACAGGGTTCGATGATCAGGAAGAAGAATTGAGACTGTAAAGTAATAAAAGAAAGCAGAAGATCGTCGTATGAATAGAGAAAAAGGTATCAATTGATCAGAGATCATTGAAATTTAGAGAGAGACACTGCGATTGTATATTTGATTTTCGCGATCGCCACGCTGGAAATGAACAGGATCGCCTCGTGCGCGAACACTGACGGAGGTTGATTCGCAATCGAGGCAGAGGCAGGATCAAAAGAAATAGCTCGGTGTCCCGAGATGAGAAGGAAACGTATGAAAAGATTCGAAGAAACGCGCGCAACCAGAACACGTAGGATGTCGGACTGATTGGCCATAGGGGAAGAGAGAAGGGACCGGAAGTGTGACGCAAAGTCTCAAGAGAAGGGCCGCTTGTACTCGCTGCTGGGCGGAAATCTCGATCGTAACTGAGAGACCGACACACGGTATCGGTTTTATGTTGGAGATCGCGCCACGTTTCCGTAACGGCGTCGTCGATGAGATTCGAAGGTAACGTTGCTGCATTTTGCCTGTACCGATACGTAGGAATTTAACCACGGAAAATCGAGTCTCTCGTAGAGAACGTTACCGAAATGTACTATATGCGACGCGCGTACGTCGAGCTTATCCTTTTTTAAGAACGCTATAGCGAGTTTAAGCGCACAGTTTAATAAAGTAAACGGGCAAGCAATTGCACAGGGAAGCTTTCTTTCCTTTCTGTCGTATTGTATTTCAAAACATCTAGAATAAAATCACGACTGCTACACGATACTGATCCTCGTTTTAACTTTTCCATTTTTGTTTGAGGAAAATAATGAATTATTTTCATTTCGCAATGCAATAGATAGGGGTATCGGAGAGAATATAAAAGAGTATCGAGCAAGCTACGTTTTGTAATTTCCGTTAGAGCATTTTATTTCCCAAACTCGATCGAACCTTCCTCTTATCACGATTTTATGTATAGGAATCAGACGTCCCCAATGCTCCACTAGAATCCATCGTTCCCCATCGGAGATCGGTAGAACGCGATTTCTATAGCGTCGAACGATGGTCAGCCGTTTGCTTGAAAAATGTCTACGATATTTGCGGAAATAAAACCTTTAGCCGAATCGCTAGTAGTCGGTTATCAGACGACAAACAGTTCTATTTTTCGCCAGGCTACGGAAACGTTCTGTTGTATACATATACATACGAGAATTTAAAGTTGTAGAAAAGTTCTCGGGGAATCTGTACTCGATACGTTAACTTCCGTCTTTTCTCTTCGACGATTAAAAAGAAATTTCTTTGCGGGCGTTGCCGGGACGAGTATAGGAAATTTAATCGAAAATCCATATGGAAATTCGCTTTGAACGTTGAAGCCGCGAACGAAACTACGAATAAACGGGAATCGTAATTGAAAAATTTCTCGTCTACTTATTCGCGGATTTACACAACACGGTAAACAGGCGGGGGATGTCCAGAAGAAATCACATTAACACTCCAGCTAGAATTACAGGATTCGTCTGGTAAACATTTGTCTTGCAAATTACCTTGTTGATGATTCAAATTCAATTCATAAGTTCTAACTAACCTCGTTTCGTCGAAATCGTAAACTCGTCAGAGTACTTGTATGCATTAGCGGGCCACGCTGAAACCGTCCGCGGAACAACGAATCCGCGAAAAGCGGAAAGTTGCCTCAGGACAAAATGAGAAACCTCGATCTAATCGACTTACGAGCGATTTACTTTTGCGATCTATGAATAATTTCACGATAAAGTAACAAGTTAGTCCACGATGTAGATAAAACTTGGGAATTCTGTGAAAATGAAGAAAGTAATTACATTTTTAATTAAATTAATTACATTAGCTTTGCAACCTCGGCAAGGTCGAACCTTTCTCCCGACCTAATCGCATAATCGATCGCAGAGATGGAGTTCGATAGAAACCTTGAATCTTATCTGGGACTCAAGGAAGATATAATTACTTTGAATTCATCGAACACAATTTTATAGATTGATTGTTGAACTGGTAGGGTGATTTTTATTCTTTTAATTGAATAGGTCTCGATTTCATCGCGTTTGAGCGAACGCTAAGAGCCTTGAATCATTACGGAGAATTATTAAGTCGATCTACGTCTGACGTCGGTTCCTCGAAGATCGGAGACATTCTATTCCACGTAGATAATTTTTTAACGTGTAAGATATATTGAAAGAAATTATAAATGAAGAAACTATGATACCTCCTGAATTCTAAGAATTTTTTTAATTTCGAGACGGACAATTCTCCTTGACTGGAAATAATGAAATCAATTAACCATTGAGAAAATGTAACGAATGCGAGCTACGTTCAACTAAAATATAATTTGATAAAACAATAATTCATCAATGCAATGTGCATCAACCTAATACTAATGAAACGTACATACTTGTTAATTTTAATGTCAAGATCAAACAAAATTTTCATCGGCAAAGAAAGAATAATGGTTCACAGATCATGAAGCTGGAAGTAATCGCAAGATGGAAAAACGATTCGCGAAAATCGCATGCAGCTGCGTTATCCGGACAATTAAACACGCGCCAAGGAAAACGAAACGAACGTACACCACGTGCATCGCGGTTCCGCGTTGTGCATAAAGCGGCATTTACAAAGGAACTGGAAAAGAAGGTTCGTGCATACATTAGCAGCCCATCACAGCGATACACCGCTTCGATCGAACCGTGCTATTGACCACGGGACTTGAAAAGCCGTCGTCCATTCGTTCTATCGTTCGATCGGCCGAATGCACAATTCGACAACCGTTTTGTGCCATATCAATTTTCGACGAATCGTTCGCGCCACTCCTTGCGAAGCTCTCGTTTCATCGGTAGCCCGCTGTCTACTATCCGACTAATCGATAACGTCGGTGACACTGTCATTTTCTCGTTTTTTCGTGACACGACCACCGCTCTCTACGAAGAAAAGCGTCGCCGGATGTGTGTTCGCTCACAGAGATACGAGATACGAGGCCGGTTCTGGCGTTTGTTTCGAAACGCGCGGAATGTAATCCCAGATGCAGCTTTTTTAGATTGAACGAAATACCGTCGCGATCGATGGGATCGCGACATCCCGCGAAACCAAGCCACCAGAAGCTCTGCCGTCCGACGAAGGATCACCACTCGGTGGAACGCTGTTTTTTCAGTTGTGTAATCTCCTCGCGAATAGATATTTTGTTTTAAGCTTTAGGTAATTCCAGAGACGCCGAAAATTTGCAAATACAATAGTTACGGTTTTGTTTTTATCGCTGGAATTTTGTTGGATGACCGGTAGTAATTGAAATTCCTTCTCACACCGCTGTTCAACACGAATCGAAGTATGATGCGTTCGTAAGCGTTTCAGTATCGCGTGAAAATTCGTTTGAACACACGAACGTCTCGAGCGATCTAAAATATCTTTAAATAAACCCGAAGGCTAATAATTTCGCAAATTTTGCGAAATATCTCGATCCAGACCGATAATTATTGACATGCAACCATAATTACACGCCGGATGTGGTAACTTTGCTAATTATCACAGGTTACAGATTATTAAACGAAATTGAAATTGGAGCAACTCGTTTTATAGTTACCGATTCTGATGGATTTCCCAATGGTGCGCATTAACGAACCAAACGTGGTAAGACGACATCATTGATTGGGAACTTTTTTCGGATTCATCGAGATGAATAATTATCTAACTAGCTTAATTGGACAGTAACAATATATTTTATTATTCGCCATATGTCAAGGTTTGTCGATTAAGGAAATAGACTCTACGAAGTTTGATAATTACAAACTTCAATTTCATCGGTATACATCAGCTGTGAAAAATTAATTTAATCTCGTCATAATGTTCTATATACGTTGTAAAGAATAAAATAACATTGTAGTTACATTATATTTTATCATACGCTTGAACGATGATATACGTCGTTAATCAACCATCTTCGTAAAAGTACTAAAGTAAAGTAAAACACGAAGACAATAAAGGTCAACTTCAAATTACAACAAGAATTACAAGTGTTAATGGAATTCTTGAATTTCACAACAATGCCGACGATCGTTAAACAGAATTAACAAGAATAATCAGCCGAGTCCAAGAGCAACTGTTAATTAATAAAATAAAGGTAGGAACGCGCGTTGCAGAATGAAACCGGAGGAACGGATTTCCTCGTACACACATTTTCTAGAAACTTCGTTTTCGCTGTTCACGGAATTCTCATCACTTATCCAGACGTTGCATGGAACGATTTACGAAAATTCAGCATTTTCACCATGCAGCAGCTTAATAACAATTCGTTCTCCCACCGTAAGGATCGCGTTAGCAGAAACTGATCGCAGTTACGATCCGTCAATTTCCCCGGTAATGGTCTAGTTTCGTTGCTGTACGACGCAAACTTTCAACCAGCCTGCTTCTCCCACAAAATATTTTAATATTTTATCGCGATCCCGTCACTGATGTCGCGTTTTCACACTATCGTGTTAGTCTCGTGTCGTTCCATTCGTACGAATCATCGTGGCATCAAGAGCGTACGATCGATTTGTCATTTTTTATTTAGAAACGATACTTAACGAAGATGGAATGGAATTAAAGACTAAGAGAAAAATTAAGGAGGACGATCTTAACATGACATAATCGAAACTGAAGATAATCAAAATAAAATATGTGCCTTTTCTCTATAGATTTTTCAAAATAATTGTTAAATTTGCGAACTTTCGTAGAAGTCGACGGTATGATATTAATATTTTAATATTTTCGATACTGTAATATTACGATCAGTATCATTTCTCAAATTTTAAAGGAGATGAAATAAGTCATACTCGTGTAGTTTCAAAGATGAATATAAAGACGAGTAATATGGAATTGATCGAGGTAGTGGTGAATCATAAAACCGTTTTTCTATGAAAGATGAGAAGTGTGACTTATCATGTCTTACCCCTGTAGTCTTCGCTTTAATTCCCATTTCGGGTAATAGAGGATTCTGAAGGATTTAGGATGAGATCGATCCGATAATAGAAAAATAATTCTGATAATAGCTCGCCAGTGACGTGTACGTTTTTACGGTATTCCCACTAGCGATGGTGATTCAGTTTCTCGATGATAAAATGTGCGAGTAATTAGCGGTTTTTGTAAGATAGGAGAAATCGCGGGATGCATCGATGAAACTCTGAAAAGCGTGGCGAAACATGAATATTTAATGCGATTTCCTTTGCCGTAATAATGCAGCGAACGGTTTAATTGTAATCCGGATGACGAAGAAAATTAAGCTCCAACGTTTTATTCTCGACGCCTTATTTTTAGCGTAGACAGTCGAGCCGCAAACAGATTTTAACATAATCCCGGAGATACGTTATTCCGCCTGGGTTTGAGAATTATTTGTTCAGCAGGCTTCACGGAACAATTTCCATCGCGAACTCGTTTCCATGTTCTGACAGATTGGAGTTAAACTTATACAGCCTGTTAACGCTTTTGTGATTGCATTGGGAACGTTCGTGGAACTATTCTTGTCATCTTTT